AGGTTTCCAACGCTCCAGGTATGCCAGTTTTTATTCCCAGGCCAAAGGTCGGATACTTTTCTCACAGGCCTCGTATAATGCATAATAATTGAAATTTGACTGTATTTTACAAAAATACTAGTGTACTAAAACACAGCCAAGACAAATTACTTTGCACAGATTAAAGGTCAGTTTTATGTTATTTGATATGGTAACACGTGTGCACATGTGCGTTGTCATTGTAACTTCTGTATTGTTAGCCAGGCATGGCTGGAAGGTCAATATAGAAAAATATGAAAAATATATATAAATGTATAATGTTATGAGATTTCATGTTATTCAGACTAAAAATTGGTGTTATAATTTGTAGTCATTCTAGAACGAAAAAGCATAATTTATATTTTTTCCTAATTTTTTATTGAGGTTATGAAGTTGGTCAAATCAAACCAACCCATACAGAAATACAGTAGTGACAATAGAAAATAAAATATAAAGTCTTTTCTACAAAAAATTTGATAATTATCTGGAGATTATAAATATTTTGCATGTGAAATTTGAAAATGTTCTAATGCATTAAAGTATTTTTAATCTTAAAATCAAAATTGCTTTGCATGTTGGATAGTTAACATTTTGAAAGAAAAAGGTTTTTGAGAAAATTTTAATACTTAATTTAAAAACCTGATATTTTGTGTATAAAAACCTTGTAATGTTTACCAATAACCTGCAAAATTTTGTAAAGATGTGCATACATTATCAAAAATCATTGTATAATTATTCTCATTGCTATTTTCGTGGTTACAAGCTGGGTGGATTTCACCCAGACCATAATGGAAGGGTTAACAAAGCTGGTTTTTATAAGTTTTTTTGGGGGAAATTTGTTCCATTTTTACAAATATAACATTAAGAAAATTTCATGCACTGATTGACTTTATCCAGACCATCCCCTTTGCATTACATGCACACTCACAAAAGCACTTTTAGAACATGCCATTCATTTGTATGTGCAAAATAGACTGAGCATGTGATAATTCAGGTATTGCTTAAATCTTACAAATGTGGAGATGCAGTTGAAACATAGTTAGTCTGCAATGATTTCTCCATCTATCATAGGGGCATGATGATGGGTGCTTGTCTGGCAGAAGTATCATTATCAAAGATAATTTCTCTCACATGCTGTTTGAAGACATTTGCCATCAGTCTGTAACTGTGACAATAAAAAAGAAATAATTTTGCCACTAAGTAAGAAAATGATCATCAACTGTTAGTGACACATGACTTTCAACAGTGGTCAGACATTTAATACAAAAACAGTCACATCACAGCTGATGACCAGTTTGGAACAGCTTACCTCAGATACAAGCAGGAAAGTATGGCTTCAATGGTTAAGATGCAAACTGTAACATGTGATTTGATCTGATGAGTTGAATTTCACCACTTGTTTATATGAAGAGTAGAGCAGAAATGTACAGGAAAATATATGAAGTATGCTTATATTTGTCCAACAGTACAGAGGTGATATAATGGTGTGGGGAAATGTTTATGTGGCTAGTGTTGTGTCCTTTGATTCTTTTAGAAAGGTAGTTAACATCCAGATTTTATTTGAACATTGTTGTCAATCATTTCCACACTTACAAATTATACATCTCCACTTTGATGAGCAAATGCTCTTCCATGGTAATGATACAACAATTTAGTGGGCTTATGCTATTAAAAACTGAAGTATGGCAGAATTGGCAGATATCAATTCAGTTGAGTATCTTTTGAATGAACTTAAATGTTGCACTTACTTCTGTAACAGTTGATTGATAGGCTCATATTAAATTGGAACAAAACTCCTTCCAGCATCTTGAGGTGTGTTTGTGTGTATGGCATGTTAAGTCCAAATCTTTATGAGGTGGTGACCAGCATCTTGAGGTGTGTATGTGTGTATGGCATGTTAAGTCCAAACCTTTATGAGGTGGTGACCAAATAAGATGTCCAGTTAGTGAACTTTTTTTAGCTGCAGCATAGCAGCTCATAGAATGGCTCTGAGTTTTTCAAGTACAAACTTTTAGCTCATAGCTCCATCATCTCTTGACTGATTTGAGATCTAATTACAGTTTTGAACTCAAGAAGTTAAACCCTTTTGATTGATGTATTTGACCTTGTCCAAGGTCTCATAGATTAATTTACTCTAATCCTGCATAAAAGAAATTCAATTTGAGGGTAGGCTGGTAGATATCCTGATAAGTAATAAAATCAAATTGGGTATATGTGCACCCCATGCTTGGTATTGCTGGAGCACAAAAATATAGCTAATAAAAGTATCCTAGATTTATTTACTCTAATCCTGCCTAAAAGAATTTCAAGTGCCATGGCTATTGAGGATTCCCTCTTGTTTAATTGAAAGTTGTATGGAATTGAGATTAAGCTATATTGATATTAATACCTTTTTATTTAATGTAGGCTAAGTCTGTATTTTTTGATATTTTTTATAGTGATAAGGACAAGGAAAGACATTGTAATTATGTCAAAAAATTTTTACTGCAAGTTGTATTTCACTTAGTACTTGTCTCCTTGTGTCTATATTAAAGCAAACGTTACTTGTTAGCACCAGATCAGAACTGCTAAAATAATTTAGTATTACATTCATAGATTATTATGCTTTAGGTGGCATAAGTGAAAGCTGTATCTAATTTTCTACTTTTGGATGGCAAAAAAAGCATTGAAGCTGTGATCATAATCTTAAATTACATTTTTTGTAGCTGCTACATTATTCTAAGTTACCTGTAGAGGATACTATTATTATATAACTCTCACTGTCAGTATTAGTAAATGTTTAGCTTATTTTTTTCTCTTAGGCTTGTATGGGTATGAATGTATAATAATTTATATATATGTGTGTGTGTGTGTGTTAAAGTGTTGGTGTTATATTGCTATATTTTAATTTTTATTGAGTTGGAATAAGTTATTCAAATTGGTACAGTTCATTTTTGTATTCTGTTTGTCATTATTTAGAAGATAACAATGTTGAACACATGATGTGTGCAAGAAAATTTTTGTGTTTTTGAAGTTTGAGTTGCCACTTAAACTAGTATTCTTTCCTCAATTCCCCATTTTTATTGCAGTAAGTGATTTTGTTTTATTTAGAGAATGCACTTCACACTTACAATAAATACAAAAGGAAAGTTGAAGAAGCTGAGAATGACCCCAGAAAATTTCTACAGAGAGAACCTGCAAATAATGAAACAGTAAGTTGTCATATGCTAAAAGCAATGTTGCAAATAATTCCCTTGTATGCATTCATAATTTTGATAGATAAAATTTTACTTGAAAAAGCGTGTGGCATTAATAACGATGTAACTATATTTTCTTTGTAGTTTTGAAAAATTCTTTTTTTTTGGAAAAATTAGATATGTGTGTGTGCATAAAGGAGAGTTACCAGCTTTTTCACTGTTCGATTTTTTGAATTTGTAGAAATTTGTGAATAAACCTTTTTTTTCCCCTTTCTTTCGCACATTTTACATTGATCTACCATGTTGATGTTTCTGTTGTTGCTTAGACAAGAGAGAGGTAGTACTGGGACAGCTATATTCATTTCAACATATGAATGTCAAATACCAAACCTCTTCCTCCATTGAACTGTCTTTGTGTTTAGTGCATTGAGAACTTGAAACAAATAAATTCAGTAAATTTTCACTATTACCAATGGGAGAAGTATAATATATAAAGAATATTAGTAAAGTTTAGTGTTATTCATTGGGTATAGAATTAACTAAGAATAGGTTCATTTGTGACCAATATAAAAAAAAAGTTTTGGTATGTAATTGTTTCAAGAAATATTTAGCTTTTGAGTGCATGTCTTGCACATTTTCTAAGCGCAGAAATTTCCATAATAATGGTCCAATGTTTTAAGTGAGAATACATTTTACTTCACACTGTTTTAGATATTTTCACTATAGAACATATTTTCTTTAGCTTCATTCAGAAGCAAAAGAAATGGAGAAGAATCCATGTATCTCTTCTGAAGCATGGTTTCCAGGAGATGAATCTCTAAAGTTAGACACCGTTGGTGCTGTAGGAATGGATTGTTGTGGAAATGTTGCTAGTGCTGTCTCTAGTGGAGGAATTGTTCTCAAGCATCCAGGGAGACTTGGACAGGTTTGGGCTAAACTTATACAATATTCACTTTTAAGATTTAGCACATGATGATATCTCATGATAATTGTTTTATCTAAAATATTCTTCTGTTATTTGAATCTAAGTTAATTCTCAACAAACATTGTGGTAAATTTACTGTTAAGATTTCAAGAATGCTGTGTGTGATATTGTACAGAATTTTATATTAACTCTCTCGCTACAGGCTCAGTTGTTTCAACCAAGTTCGTGACCTTAAAGTGACCATCAGAGCTTCCATACTATAACTTTTAATATATTTTGTGTATCTTTATGAAATTTGACAAGCTTTCAGTAAACATTACAAACCTTTTGTACACAAAAAGTCAGATTTTTTAATTAAGTATTTTTACTAAATATTTGTCCATGAATATGTGAAGTCAGAGTGTTGTCTGCTCTGAGTGCAAAGTGATTTTTATGTTAAGACTAAAAATACTTTTCTTTATCTGCTAATTGTGAAATTTCATTTGTAAAACCTCTAAACTTCTTAAGTAAATATCAAAGGCTTACATTTTAAGTAAAACTATATTTTATGTTACTTTCTCTATCCCAGTCTATACCTTTTTTGGCCAATTTGACCAACCTTGTAACCACCATAAAAAAGTAAGAAACAAAAGCTGAATTACCCTTTTTTTTCTTTCTAGAATGATTGCAAATTCAAATATGAAACTTCATTTGCTTATGCTAAATAGGTTAATTCTCTCAACACGGGCTTGGTCAATTTCATCGACCATGTGACCTCCTTGTACTTATTTAAAGTCTTTATAGATTTGATACTACTAACTTTTAATATAGTGTGTATATCTTCATAAAATTTGGCAGTCTTTCAGCAAACATTGTCTTTTGCATACAAAAAAATCATATTTTCTAGTGAAGTATTTTCAATAGACTAAAAAAAGATTTGTCCTTGAATATATCGAGCATGTTTTGAATAGTCCGTGTGCAAAGTGATTTTTCATATCAAGATTAAAAATACTTTTCTTCATCTCAAAAGTCTCAAACTATCAACGTGTTGTGAAAGAGAGGATGTGATGGGTGGGTGTGGCAGGAGGGGTCTGATTTTCTATTTCTGTAACCAAACAAAATTGAAGGCTATAAAAATTATGGTTTGTCTGAGCAATAACGATTTTATAGTGAGTAATTTACGTTTAATTTCATAATTACTGGAGGGGTGGTGGATAAAATAGAGAAGAGAAGATACCTAGGGAAAATATGTCGTGTCACACTAGGGGAAATTCAGGATTTTTTTAAATATTGCCTTATAGAATTAAAAACTTAAAACATATACTATTGAAATATGGCTTATTAGATAAGATTTTATGCTACACTAATTGGTATAACATAAATAAAAAGCAGTTTAATAAAGTTTTGAATGTAAGACTCTAAAATCTTGTGTCATGCGCAGTAAAGGATACCCATGGTGATAGGATTAAATCTTGTAACAGTATACGTTTGTTTATACTTGATTTATTGTTTTATAGTTTTTTGAACCATGTCTAACTAAGAATCCCACCACACAAGTTGTAAATCACTCGTCGATTGTATAGCTCATATTACCATATAAAATTATGTAATGCTCGAGCTGCTCATGAGCATATCTCATAAAGAATTTTTATTTTTCATTATCTTACTTGATCTAACCTAATAAGTTTCTAATTTTTACATTTTAGTTACTTTTATAATTATTATGATTTTTCATTATCAACTTGATCTAAACTAATAAGTTTCTAATTTTTACATTTTAGTTACTTTTATAATAATAAATAAGGAATACACATGAAAAACAAGAAATATAATACTTATCTGGATCTTGTTTTTTGCTGTTGAATGTCAATTAAACTTAAGCCTACTTTTTACACTAATAGTACTACTGCTTCTCTTCACCTCACTTCATGGCAATTGATAAGGACTTTAACAAGAAATGGATTGAAGTTCTTTAAACTGGTAATTTGATAGAGATGAGATCTTTTCATGCTTTCTAACTGTGATAAGAGCCTTTAAAAATTCAGCTAAGCTTGTTGATGTAAATACCATAAGAACAAGTTTCAAACTGAAGGCAAAATAGACAATGCTCTATACTGAATATAATACGTAATATAATACGTCATTTGATAGATTAAATCTTTAACTTTTTATTGGTTATAAATAATATAGTATAAAAAAGATCAGAGAGAACTATTGGCAATCTGTGAAAGAGGATGTGACAGGTGAGCGTGGCAAGTGGGTCTGATTTTCTAGTTTATGGCTTTGTAAACAGATAAGATTGAAGGCTATAATAATTATAATTTGCCTTAATAATATCTATATCATAAGGAGTAATTTACATTAAATTCCATGCTTCTCAGAGGGGTGGTAAATAAATTAAAGAAGAAGGAATATCTCAAGAACAAACATGCTAGGGGAAATTGAGGATTTTAAAAAATATTTCCTTATAAAATTAAGAACTTCTACAATGTTAAAATTTGGGTGATTATCTATGTTTTGTTTGTATACAATAATAAAGCAGTTCAATTAAATTTTGAATGTAACTTTCTAAATGGTCATGATATGTGCACTTTAACCTACATGTAGTGTGAGAATTAACAGTGATTTTTATACTTTTTTTATTGACAGGCTGCTCTATATGGTTGTGGGTCATGGGCTCAGAATTCTCTTTCTTCTACGGAACCAGCAGTTGCTGTCACGACTTCAGGTACTTGTGAAACAATTTCTTGTACAACAAGCCTCTTGTTTTGATTCTTCTTGGCATTTTAAAGAGTTTTCTTAAAAGATAACATAAAGATCTGATCCACAGTGTCAGTTGAAGCATATTGTCTTTGTTTAACTTTTATTCATGTTCAACAACATTCAGTTATGCTAAATACTAAACTTGTTAGTGAGCCTGTAAAGTACATCCCCTTCATGTTATCTCTGAATAGCAAACACATATTGGATTTCATAATTTCCATATAACATCCTGGCATGGACTTGGATGGACCAATAATCTTTACCTACTGGTACAAATATTACTATACCTTGCTTGCATAAATAAATTATAGATGACATTTAAAGCTACAATAATGAAAAGACATAACAATTCTGATGAGCCCCCCCCCCCTTCCGTGTCTCCATGGTAAGTCTGAAGGTTTATAATGCTAAAACCAGGTTTTGATACCCACGGTGGGTACAGTAGAAATAATCCATTGTGTAGCTTTGTGCTTAACTACAAACAAACAAATCCAATGAAATAAAGCACTCAAAACATCACCCAATACATCAACTATGTAAAGGAAGTTATCTGTACAGCTTCAAACTATTCTACTGATCTCTACTTGTCAAGTATGCATTTCAAACCAACAAATACTTGATAGCCATATCCAAATACATTTGGATGAAAAAATTTAATAATTTAACTATTATATGTTATGAAACAGTCTTACCTTTACTCATCCAAAGCTATCTCGATTCCTGAACTGCCCTTTAAGTATTGCTAAAATTTTTTGCTAACACTGCACCAGTCTTTTATACCCCATCAGTTTTGTGCCATTCCAGAACATGTGCTGATCATGTGACTACCCTCTACCAATCATAGTGTACCATCTATACTAGCACAGCTGGTGCCCTATATTATTCTAGAATAATCCTCACATTCTCAATTGGCATTCTTGTGTGTAGATATGGGTTTTAACTCATTCTCCATGTGACTACAAAAATTTGATTGCACTTGATCACAAACTTATATCAGTTTCAACTTCAAGTTTTGACTTCTTGTGTTTGATTTCCATTGTTTCCGCTTGTTTGTTTTAGAAATATTTCTGTTTTCCGAATTCTAATTTGTTCATGTGAATGCGAGATTTAATATGGTGGATGATGGAATTCCTGTAACAGTCGACAATGGTTCTGACACAAGTCCCCAACTCCTAGGATCAACAATGTCTGCTGGGGAAGTGCAGGCTTTAGTTTACGGAGGGAGTTTGTGTCTTATGATTGGCTGACGATTTATTTCCTTTTACATTATGATTTTTTGTGAGGAAGGATATAACTAATGAGTGGAAATTTCTTTTTACTGCATCTTCCACTTGTTACCACACCTCCAAGTAATTTTCTGAGGTAGGTGTTGTTTTTGTTTCCAGGAGATCTGTGGTAAGTTTTTCAGCATGTATTCCTCACTCCCAGTTGGTATATCCATTTTTAGCGAGTTTTTCTGAGCTTGTGTGGACTGACGTAATTTCCTGACATGATAATTTAGGTCTTTCATGTCTTCTCTGCTCAGTATCGGGTAAGTTAGATTTTTATAATTTTTTTCCCATCTAACTTACTTGAGTTTAAATTTGCATTTAGAGTTTGATTATTACTTTGTTAATTTTTGGTATATGTACGGTTTTTACACCATAGTTACTGTTTGGGTAATTGTAACTTCAGTCAATTATGTTGGTGTGTTGGTTCATTTTTTATACTTCTTTTCACTGTTTATGTTAGTTAGTGTGTAAGGTTCTTTTTATTTACTACTAGTCACATCTAATTGGGAATTAGATTTGAGTCAAATTTTGTTATTGTTAACTGGGTGTCTTTTCATTCTCATGTTCTTCAGGGTAGGTTTTCCTTTTGTCTTATTGGTTCTTTGAGTGGACTTTTAACTTCAATATTTACTTGTTCTTTAACTTCTAAGTTCCTTTAGTGGTTTTATACTTTAGGTGTTGCTTATTGGTTTATGTTTTAGGTCGAATTTCATAATTTTGCACATTTATTATTTTTATATAATTTGTAGACGAAAAATTTCTAGGTTTTGTTAGTTTGTCATTAATGAGTACTTTCTCTAAGTATGTTTCATTTATGTGTCTTTTTGGCTACACATTATGACAGTTCCGTGGGTTCTCCAGGTTCTGTCTGAAGGTTTCTGCCTTCCGTTCCACTCACCCACCATCCACTTCCCATATCTCCTTCCCTCTTCCTTAGTATTGTACCTCTCTTCCGGTCATCTTGCCTAGTCTTTTCAAGACCTAGTTCATTCTGTCATCACCAAATTCCATATTCACGTGTGGCTTTTGTCTGGGCCATTGTCTCAGCTCAGGGACTTGCCCCTTATGTAGGGTCATTCTTTCTTATTCCACTTGACCTTCCTCCATGTCTGTGTACCTGAGGCAGTGGTCTACCTTCAGATCTTGGTATGTTCACTGTGGCTTCCACCCTTCCATCCTTTGGTAACTCATCTTTCCCAGTTCTGCACCTGGTTGTTTGTTCAGGGTTTGTCCATGTCAACTTTTTCTAGTTATACTTTCTCCTCCCCTGTTATTTCCCTCCTTTTTCATTCCTTTCTTGTTCTCCGTCTTCCACGTCCCTTTGTTTTGCCATATCGGATTTCAATTTTGTCCTTCATATCCTGTCCAGTACTCCATTTGAACCCATTGCCATGTGTTCCTTGTACCATTTTTCCCTTAAGTCTTCTTCGTCCTCCTTGCTTGTGGTCGTCATCATTCAGATATTTATGCCATGGATGTTTCCCGCATCCTTTCCCATTCCTTTTGTGTTACCGCTATCCTGATCAGGCCTTTCTTTCCTCGACATCATCTGCCCTGTCAGGTGGTTTGGCCTTCTCTCCTATTTCCAACCTGTACTCATGTTTTGATTCTGGATACAGTTCTTTGTCTCATTCATTCCCTGAGATGTTATGTGGCTCCGACTGCCTGTACTGTGTCCTGTGACCTGTCCCCTAGTGCATTCACTGGTTTGGTTTGTCAACGCATACAACTGGTGTATTCTGACTTGTCTGTGGAATGTTGCTGTCTGTACAGTGTTTCTTCACACCCAGTTCATCACCTAACTATGTCTTTAGCTTTTTGCTTTCACTGGCCTTTGGAGAAGATCGTTCAGGCTGGGATATGGACAACTCCCAATATAATTTTTGCACATTATCTGGACAACCTGGCTGTGTCTTCCTTGGGCAGGTATCATCTTCCATGTCTATTTGCCTTTTATTGGAGTAAGTGGACATATTACTTTTTTTATATATTTTTAGTTGATGCATAGTTCAAGATCCTTCCTGGTGACGAGTGTTGTCTGGTCAGGTATGCTTCATATCATATTTGCACTAGATACGAGTAATTCTATAATGCTCGCTGTTGAGATGGGGTGTCTCTTTAAGACCACCGGGAGCTTGTTCAATGGTATGTGTATCTATATATATATATTTTTTTTACTAAAAGTTACTAGTTTCACTCATGGACCTTATGAGTAAAGCAAATGGGGATTTCTACCCATCTCGACTGACCTGTGATTCCTACAATCGGGGTCCATCTGCTTTTCAAAATAGGGAATCACAGACACTCTTTGCACTGTCTCCAGTATGTCACTCCTCTGGACTCTCCAATGCAAATCCCCCCCTCCCTCCCCCTCTTCTAGTGGAGTACAGGAGTCCTTACCACTTCTGGTTCCCAGTCACCGGAGTGATGAACTGTGGTGGTTTCCTCCTGAGTGAGTTTTGAAAGACAAAATAAAGCTTTCTAGCCCATGTGTACCCACTTGGCGAGAAGAGGTCTATAGTTGTCAGAATCATTAAAGTAACAAACAATAAATTTTTCAGTAATATTCAGTATCCAAGGCACTTCCCCCACATGTTTTTGCCTGTGCGGACTGCACTTGGCCTAATCCTATGTATCCAATGTGCTTCCTTCTGGATGTTGCCTGGGCAGACTGTACTTGTTGTTCTCTATATCTTATGCAAGGCACTTCCACTGGATGTTTTTGCCTGGATAGGGAAAATTTTAAAATAAAAATTACTTTGCACATGGAATATTCAAAACAAATGCTCAATATATTCATGGACAAATCTTTTAATTTCTTAATTTCAAAAGGAAATATTTAAATAACTTGTCTGTCTTTACTTCCCTGTATCATGTAACCATTCTTTGCTCCAAATTGCCCATTTTAGATTTCTTTTTACCCCTCTATGATCTTCAGAGAGAAATCTTTAGTAAAATTACTTAATTTAAAAATCATATTTTTTGTGCACAGCACACTTGTAACAGATACTAAAAGCATGTAAAATGTTGTGAAGGTACTCATGCTACAATAAAAGTTATAGTATGTATAGTTTCATGGCTGCATAGTGGTCACAAGGTTGTTCAAAATGATTGAGTCTGTATACAGAGAGTTAAACATTAGGCAAATAGTAGTAAGAGTATAGTTTTATATTTATCATGAAAATGTTAAATTCAGATCTAAATTTTTTGTACTTAAGGTATATATACAGCTAAAGTAACTTTGTTTTACCTAATAACTGACACCATCGCAAACCTGTAGCATGTTCTAATATTTAAAAGGTTACAGAAGTTATCCTCCTTTTTCATACCAATGATTTTGAAGCATTGTATTTTGAAGTCTATAAACTTTCATAAATGGGTCAGATCTTTCAGTGTTGGATATAAATAGTAAATTATTAATGATGTACAAACAAGGGTTCATTGATTTACTTGAATACTGAAACTAGTGATTCAGACTTTAGATACGGATGATAAGTAAAATCAATTCAAGGTATTTGAACACCCTCAAAGTAATGAATAGCCTCATTTATAGGCACAAGTGATTATGATTTAATCTCTTACAAAGTAGTAATATAGGGCTGTGAAGTATGAATAATTAAAAGATGACTGAAACAGTCTATCTAATAATTTTTAAAGTAAGAAAAATGCCCCAAAAGTCTATATTTTATTAAATAAAATAAACTGCTTAATTGAAGCAAGTGAACTTTAGTTCAGACTTAATGCTTTACACTGTTATGGCATTCCAAACACTATTTAAATTAAGTTAAACATGAGTTTGTGTAAACCATTCACTTCATATTTTCTTTTTACTCACTGGAGCTTTGTTCTGTTTGACATATACAAATAAAGTTGAAAAGAATCTGTTATGTGAGAACTTTTTCAAATTCTCTGTAAATTATCTTAGTGTATTGTTGGAATGATAATATTCTGTTGTTATTCACCTGATATCAACTTAATGACCTTATTTTAGCAGAGTATGTTTAATATTTATCCTCTGACTAGTTTTTTATGTTTTAAACCTACTGTTAAAAGTTTTCTCATTTTAAAGGCAATTGAGTAATTTAATTCTGTGTAATCACTTTATTAATTCTCTGTTATTGGCCCATTATTTACTATTATTATTATTGTTACATTTGTATGTTTTGTTTATTTCAGGCAATGGTGAACACCTTATAAAAACCATGTTTGCCCGAACTTGTGCTGAAACATTAATCTCTAACACTGATGGAGTGACTGGTCTTCATTATGTTTTTCATACAAAGTTCCTGGGTAAGTCCATGCATAAAATTGAACATAGCAATCAATATGAAAAAAATACATTTCAACATGATTTGTACAACATTTCAAGGGGATGTACAACAAGTACCACTTATATCTCCTGTGTTCTGTAGTTTGATTTCAACAGGATGTGCAATTAGTATCATTTGTCTTGTAAGGTGGTCCATCTGGGCTAGTCATTGGAGCTTCAACTTTACCACCAATTACTACTAATTTATATTAAGTTGAGGAATGCAGTGGCGAGTGGAGCACACAAGTCAATTAATCTCTGTATGGGTTCGGTAGATTTGTCCAATCTCGCAACCACCATAAAAATTAGAAAATAAATATAAATTATACCCTTTATTCTAGAATGAACACAAATTATAACATGAAAACATAAATGATTAGACTAAATAGCTTAAATCTCATATATATTTATATATATTTATTATTATTATTATATTGACGTTTCAGCTGTGCCTGGCTAACAATACAGAAATTACAGTGACACGGCTCACGTGCACTCATTTAACCATATCATATAACATAAAACTGACCTTTGGTCTGTGCAAAGTAACTTGTCTTGGCTGTGTTTTAGTAGACTACTATTTGTAAAATACAGTCAAATTTCAATTATTATGCATTATATATCTTCACACTGATTTATTGATTTACTTGAATACTGAAACTAGTG